TCATTCACAGAACACACACAAGCACAGAGACACGCCCACAGAGCCACGTGAGGAGAGTAACATCCCGTTCCTGCTGCTGTCGTGACAGAAAGTCAAAAACTAAACTAGAACAATAAAAATGAAATGTCTGTGAAGCACTTCAGCAGAGTGAAGTGTGTGTGTGTGTGTGTGTGTGTGTGTGTGTGTCTCACCCAGTTTGAGGGCTCCGGCCAGGCCTCTGATGACGGTGACTGGGTTAGAGGAGTTGGTGCAAAACTGATGGAGCGGCGGGAAGAAAGCGTCCCTCTTGTTTTCCAGCTGCAAGTCAGAGAGGAGACACAGGATTGGTCAGGGAATGAAGACCGACTCCAGACTCAGTGGGAGAATCCACTCCCTCCTCCTTCAGATCACTTTGCTGTACGTACATAAATACTGGGCGTCGGAGGGTTGAGTTTGTCCTTTGGCAGCGGAGGAGATGGCGGGCGAGGGGGTCGCGGCGGGGGACACTTGTCCAGGAGGACGCTGCTCGTCGACAGGCCGTTCTTCCCCAGGTACCTGCAGCGTGAGCGGAGGAGAAACTCACTCAGGTAAAAATCGGAGAGAAACAGCTCCAAGGGCAGAACGAGATTCTTTACAGAAACAAGCACGTGATATAAATGACTTTTCAGACAGAACTTGGAGACAAACGTTAGTCGTGAATCTGACAGGAACATTTAGAGCCACTCAAAGGCTTCGTCGTGGAACAAGTGCTTCAGGAACATAACGCTCCACTTACAATGCTCTGATCGGAGTTTCTGCAGGTTCATTAACTTTCACTGATTGAATGAAAGAGATCAATGGAAACCAGGAGGGAAACCTTGAATTATTTATCTTCCTCACTATGTGCAACAATGATTCCTAATATCTTCATTGATAGAGAAATGGACCCAGACAAGCAGGAGATTGATGATAGATGCATGAATGGACAAGACTTTCTTCCAAACCTGCAGATGGAGGGAGGAGACGCTTGTTTCTAGTTCATGTCTGCAGCCTCTTCAAACCAGACAGCTGATGTCTTTACTGATTGTGACCAATGAATGAGCAGGAGAACGTTGATCAACACGTCTTATTCAAACCAGAACTCCAACTGAAACTACATTTTATATTTGGGAAGTTTGGCGTTTGGAGTAAAATCCATCATGTGACCGTTTCATGACTCGGCTGCATGTAACGGTGTTCTGTGAAATATGAAGTGAAAGTAAAAGCCAACGATACAGATTTGAATCAGGGAGAAAGAAAGATGGCGACAGGAGCCGCAGGAGTGAAAATCCAAGAAGATTCAAACAGAAAGAGATGAACTGATCAAATGAATCATTAGCTCGGGTCTCGTGAAAAGTATTTTCATTAGTGATGCATTTATCCAAACGAGAAGATGAAGATGATGAAGATGATGAAGAATACCACCAGCCCTGAGCACACGGTCACACTGCAATGACATTTTCCAGCTGAACTAAAGAAGCAGCACATTATTCACTTCTACTCGTGATTTCACATCTGAATGTTTCTGCTGCTTCGTAACAACCACGGACTGAACACACGCCTGCGTCCCTTCACTCTCAGTAACACAGCTTCTGATTGGTTGCTCGCTGGAGTCGGTTTATATTTAAGTCACAACCGCAGAAACTACAGGCGACTTTTTTTAAATGATTTTAAATAAAGCAAAGAAAAACACTCAAATCTCAAAAGATGTTCCAGTTGCACAGCATTCACCACCTCACACGTTCACACACTCACACAGAGTCACACACACACCTTACCTGCAGGCTTTGAGGACTTCACTGGAGCTGGGGTAGATGGAGAACGAGGACCAGGGTGCCAGACCAGCGGGGGCGCTGTGTTTATGAGCTCCTCCAGGAGGCTCCACCTTCATGGGGCTCTGGGAGTCGTCCAGCCCCTTCCCATTGAGCGTGGGCCCCTGGCTGTTAGTGGCAGATGGGCTGTTAAGGCAGGAGAGGCTGTTGGTGGCGTGAGCGTCTGCAGAGCGAGGAGAGGGTGTAGCAGTGGCTGACGGTGGCGAGGACGCCGCCGATGGCTCCGATGGCTTCTTGGCGGCACCGTGGAGACCCGGGTGGACGTTGTTGATTTTCTCTGAGGAAGGCCCTCCGTGGTTACTGTAGTTATTGTTGTCGTCATTACTGGTAGTATTGGCTTTTCCCTTTAGCAAGGCTGAGAGCTGAGGATTGTCTGAACTGAGCACGCCGGGGGCAGGAGAGCCAGGCTGAGACGGGCCGGTGGAGCTGTCCGTCACCCGCGGCTGGACGTGATTAGTCAATCCCTGCGCGGGGGCGGTGCTGGGACTAAGGGGAGTCCCTGCAGAATGCCTGACGGCGGCCTCCGGACCTGATGGCAAAGTAGCAACGGAGCTGCTGCTGCCGTTGCTGCCCCCTGAAGGCGTGGTGTCTTTGGTGTGGACCCCTGAGGTAGTAGCGGAGTGGGGAGGCGAGGAAAAGTGGTTGGGTGTGGTCTGGGGGGAGGTGGGGGACAACGATGAGGCTGAGGAGGAGGCAGTGCAGAGCCCAGAGGAATGTCCAACCTGATTCAGAATGCCAGAGGAAGAGAACGAGGTCTGAGGGGAGGAGGAGGAAGAGAAAGGGGGTTCTCCATTTGGACCCGCCGAATGAGAACCTGGACCTTTTTGAAGCCCCTGATCAGAGAAGGTGACACATGAAATTATTCATATTATACAGAAAACATACAGACGACACGTCAGCATAAAAACTGGAAGGACCACGCGGGTACCTGAGTGGTAGTGTTGCGCTGCTGGCTCCTCCATGTCTCGTCTGCATGACTGGGACTACTGGTAGTGCTGCTGGTGCTGGGGTGACTGGCGGCTGTGCAGTTGTGAGGTAGAGAGTTCTGCTGCGGGTAAGGCACGTTTCCGTTGCTCGCGCCGCCACCTCCCAGGCCCAGGGTGTGATTTTTGTCCAGGTGTCCCAGCGGCCCCGCCGACGGACTCGAAGAACAGGATCCGTTGGCTGTGGGCTGGGTGGAACCCGGGGGCCGGGGGGCCGTGTGATTGAGAGGGGAGGCGCGGGGGAGGTCTGCGTGGTGGTGAGAGGGCTCAGCCGACGGACCGTTGGGGAGGCTGAGCCTCGGCTGGACACCCGCTGCCGCCTGCTGCCTCATCTGAGAGAGAGAGAGGGAAAGATTCAGGTCACACGGTAAGAATCAAACTCTGCACTCACTGTGGTTCTGCACCGTCAGTGCTGCGAGTGTTTACCTGCTGCTGCTGGTGTTGCTGCATGAGAGAGAACTGGTTCTCCAGCTGTTCCAGCATCTGCACCTGGGGGGGCTTGAGGTTCGCTCGGTTGGTCCGCAGGTGATCCAGGAGCTGCAGGTTTCACAAGAATCATGATTCTCATTAAAAGGCTGAATGGAGCTGGTTTGTTGTCATTTGATGTTAAGTTCTCCGGTCTACATAAACAGGGTTTTTGTATTTTTACATGTATCTTTCAATTGTTATTACTGGTATCGTGGTTAAAGCTAAATAAAAAGTTTAGCGATGAGGAAGTGTTGTGTAAGGGAAAACCAAAACCTGGAGAAAACCATTAAAAGAGGCCTCTGCACATGGAAACAATCATTTGAATCTCAAAACAAATATGATGATTTATTATGAATTCTGTTCTTTCATTAATTGTTTTGGCTCAAAAAACAGTTTTCGAATGTAAAAACACAGATAAGGATTCATCACATGTCCCCAAGAATTAATCTAAAAGAAATCTGTGCTTTAATCAATAATCCATCAGGAACAAATTGGGCTCCTGACATCAGAGAGACCTCGGGCTGAACCAGTATCTTCAGTAGGGAACTAATTAATCCGATGACATTTTATCTTGTCATTCAGATGAAAATGAATTTCTGAGGAGGGTCACGTTACAGTGTGTTTCCAAAGAAGCCTGGTTCTGCATTTTAATGTAGAAGTAGACGAAAATCCAGCTTTGGGGCTAAACCAGAGAATGAAAACGGATCCGACTCCTTCAGGAAAGTGTCTGTGAGGAGCTAATACCATCAGATCATGAACATCAAACAGACTTGAGTCATTTCCTCACCTGAAGCTTCTGTGGCGTCAGGTACCAGCTGGGGATCTGCTGTTGATTGGTGCTGTTTGTCCACGAGTCGGCGACACTCTGGAGGTGAGACAGAAAGAACAGGTCTGAGCCAGCGCTCATCTTTGCATCCTCCAGTGGAGTCATAGTGTTAATGTTCTCGGCTGTACCTTCGCTGGGCTGGCAGTGCGTTTCCTCTTGGCAGGACTGGCCTGTGGGTCTGTGTGATTACTGGCCGACTGGCCTCCCTCCCCCTTGCAGGCCTAAAAACCCAGCACAGAGAAACAGTTTGTGACGACACGCTGAGCCGACCATCACCAGCAAAGCTTCAAGTAATTCACACAAACACTAAACGGGCCCTGATGAAATGACTCAAAGGGAAAAAAAAACTAAACAGACACAGACCCAAACTTTTCTGCAAAAAACAAAAACACTAAGATTCAATACATTGACATGCAAAACTATCTGAGCATTTAAATATCACATGGAAATACTATTAAAACACATTTTAGTCAAACTGGTGGGGGGTGATGGAGGTAATTAAGGTCATAATCAGAGTATTCATGCTGCGTTTAAGATGAGAGACAACGGATAATCAGGGTTTCTTGGACGTGCAGACAAATATATTCTGTTTCCACTTCATGTGTCTGTGTTTCCAGATAAAGACTCTGAACTGATCACACCTCCAGTAAAACAACTGCTTTTTAAATCTGACTGTTTGGTGATCGGCTCGAGCAGGCGTCACTGATGGAAATGATTCATCAGGAGGATGATGTCATTAGAATACCCAGAACTGCATGAGACGTGAAAAATACCACCAAATAAAAGTGACGTGTTGATGGGGGTGAGGGTGGGTGAGGGGTGTCAGCCTTCAGACGTGCACGTCTGAGATTTGTCTCATTTTCAAAAAGGGATTTGACAAAAAAACAAACAAAAAAAACAATTGGACAAAAGAAAACTTGAAATACACGTGTCGAATACACGGAAACACAGAAATACATGCTTCTTAATGTGACGCAGCCATTTAGCATCGTCAGCCTCGCAGGTTGCCAAGTACGTCGCATTGACTCTTTAAAGTTATGGGACGTAATGAGGAGCTCTGCAGCATCACTTAATTATCTGAGGACGCATCTTGTTGGATCAACACTACGAAGGTCAACTATGCTCCAGTAATAGATTACAGCAATGTACTGTCGGGCCTCGCTCCAATTCCCTCAGACGGTTTCCTCTTTTGAGTTTCAGGTTTTTTTCCCTGATAAAGATAAAACGCCTGAAAGCGTCGGAGCGAGGTTTTAACAGCTCTTATAGATTTATTGTTCAAAAAGTTTCCAAGAGGCCGGAGACTCTTGCATAAGCTGGATCTCACCTGCTGTGCCTGTGCAGTGTTCAAGGCCCCCTGCCTGGACGTGAGCTCAGCAGGAATGGGTAGGCTCCATGCCTCCTCAATACTAGGAAGCATTTTACTCTTATTCTGCAGACTACCTGGCTGTAGGTTACACAACTGAGCCTAGGAGAAATTGTGTAAGACACAAACTTTAGTGCTGAACTTTGGTTGAACAGGAAAGTCACTACAAAACTGCGGTGGCGTTTTAGGCAACTGTATACAGAATAAAACAGAAATGTAAAATGCAATGAAAGTATGCTTTGCAATTACCAGTGAGAGAAATGTGTTTCAAGACATCAATATGAATCATTATTCATATCTCGGTGGTCAGAAATCAAAATGACAAAAGCACAATCTGCATTTAAACAGCCGATTGCTTTGGCAATGCTTGGCAATAAAACACAGCACTTCAAATACTACACAACATCTAACACACAGGGCAGGGTGTTGGGTACTAACTCGTGTGGACGTCGGCCCTACCTGCAGCAGTTTGATGCGTTGTGTGAGTGCGGCCGTGTTGAGGCAGGCCCTGCTGCGGGTGGCGTTCATGTAGCACTTGATAGCGTCGTGCGGCTGGCCGCAGGATTCATAGAGCGTGCCCAGGTCCATCCAGGCAGCGGCGTGGCTGTGGTCCAGTTGCACAGCACAGATGTAGGCCTGCAGTGCATCCATAGGCTGGTTCTGCTGCTGGTACAGCACCCTGCAGCAGAGGCACGGAGGGGGGGGGTGATTTTCTTGCCATTCACCAGGATTCATATATTTCTGAGCTATTCCAAATCTCAGGCTCCCAGAGGACATGACCCACCCTTCATACATCTATTTATATCCTTCCTCGCCCTCCTACTGCTCCGTTATCTACCCTCTCCTCGTGTGCTCTGTCGCACTGCAGCTGCTGTATCTCCGAGAGGTTTCCTGAGAGCCTCCGAGGCCATAACACTAAACACCCTTGGACAGATGAGCTGTTTTTAAACCAGCTCTTTCTCCCTCCCTCAGACTTTTACAGATGTTAACCTCTGTCTGCCTGTCACCTCTATCAGGCCTCTCACGTTAACAACAAACTACAAGCTCTGCTCTTACCCTATGGAGCACCAGGTGTCAGCACTGGCCTCAGACTTGTCAATGGACTGGCGGTAAGAGATGAAGGCATCCTGCACCTTCCCAATACTGGAGTAGCACCTGAGAAGACAGAGGGGAAAATATCAGCTGTCAAGTAAAGACGCAAAGAGAAAATAAAACTTTATTGCACAGCAACTGTCTTGAATATTTGCATCCTGAGTCCCTCCAGAAAATGTTTCAGGGAAATGTCAGGTCTGAAAACGGCTTTCACCAGGCTGAGCTATTAAAAACGTCTGATGTCAGTTTTGATCTCAGAACAGTAGAAATCTGGAAAGTAGATTTTATATGTGTATGAATGAATGAATGTTCAGAAGCAGCTTGGTGTATAAGGGTGATATCACAACACTAACCCACTAACATACACAATTCTACTGCTCAGGATGTAGCCGAGCCTCGCTCACACCTAGAGGGACACCATGGAGCTCTGGGGTGAGTTGGGGGGTGTATATCTATCTGCTCCAGTGCCTGTGAGCATCAGTCTGCTGATTAGCTCCCAGGAGAAACCGGAGTATTTGGTGTGAATCACGTGCCTCCACTTGGTCTGTAGAGCATTTATCCCCCCCGAGTTCATTCAAGCAACAAAAATCTCATGTAGCCAAGATTACTATCATAGCACACTGGCAGATGGCGTCTAAGTTAAACAAACAGTCTAACCAGGACTCACACGAGTGTCCGGTTGGTGTCTAGCAGTGTAACACACACACTCGCAACCTCGTTCATCTTACCTGCCGAGGAAGTACCAGGACTGGCCAGAGTTTGGGTCGGCTTCTAAAGACTTCTGCAGACACTGGATGGCATAGCTGTCCTTGGTGCCTTTGTCCCCGAGCTGCTCCACCGTGTGATGCATCCAGCCTGGAGGAGCAGAGCCGAGCGGTCAGGGATCAACTCAAACATCTGCAACTAAACCAGCTGCTCCTGAAAGAAGCCGTCACTGCAGCGCGGAGGTGAATCGCACAAAACAAAGAGTCGAGGACCCGAATCCTCCAATCAGAAGACAGGACGACGGTCTCGTGTGCAAATGGACGAGACTCAAACAAATGGCTTGTCCGCTCAAAGCTGTTTAATGAAGGAGGAAGGAATACGAGAGGCAGACAAAGAGGGGGGAGGGGGTATTCACAGACACACACAGTTTACAACAAATCACAGGCGACCTCCGCACTTCTCCTGTACACCTGTGGCAAACTCCACAGGTCACCATGACAACCCCAGCGGGTTAGACTGGGAATGGTTTTACAACTGGGTGAGTGGGGGGGGGGGGGGGGGGGGGTCGTCTGCACTGCGGAGAGCTAGAAAATGGAAAATCTCTCTCTCTCCCTACAATCTTTGTCATCTCAGGGTCGT